GATTATCCTAGGACGTATTAGAAAGAATCCAGTCACAGCCCAAAGTAGCCACAAGCCCTCCATCTGTCCCCAGCACAGCCCCTCAAAAGCAGCAGGAATGGAAGCCCAACACTAAGAAGTGTTCTGGGCCAACTCTCTCCTTTGGGAAACTTTTACTTTTCTTAGTACGAGTTTGCAGTATGCCATTCACCATGGAGACCAACTCTTTATTTGACTCCCTTTGAACCCTGTCTTTCACAATCAGCAGGTGAAGATTGTTTTCTTTCATTACCTGGGTTTGGTGATCACCAAGAGGGCCTCAGGGCAGCCACCCCCAGCCTGTCTTGGCTTAAGTAATACATCAGGAACTAGATAGTGAGCAAACTAACAGAGGATAAGAACAGCCCAAGAGAACAATGGCCTTTGTTCCTAAGATCTAAAGAACTGAGAAATATCTTGTGACTATGATCTGATATGTGTAATTTGGCTGCAAACTTCACCTGTGGAAAGGCACCCACCTGTCTGTGATCCATAGAAAGTATCCTTAAATCTGCCCCCTGGACAGGATGGCCCTCTGGGATGAGACTCTCCACTATCTTCTCGATCAGCTAGTTCATAATAAAATTTTTCTCTACTTCCACTTTGCCTCACCACTAATCGGTATCTGTGTGTGGCAAGCAGACCAAGTTTGTGTGTGGGAATAGGATATCCTGTGAGATACGCTGCCTTGGCACTGAGGCTCGGAAAGGAGAAAGAAAATGCTGCTTCTCCCTTCTCACTGTAGAAGGGTTCAGTTTGGTTTGCCGGGCGTTAATATGTTAGGCGCTGTTCTCTCCCATGAGTCCAATAGCAAGAGTAAGACCAGTGTGGGCTGAACAACTGGAAAGGCACCGGATGTTACCATCTCGAACTTAAACGAGAGCAAGAAATCTCAGTGGGACCCAGGGGCTCTCAGATCACAAGGACTAGGAGGAGAGAGTCCATGTCCAAACTGTGCCTCGATCTTAGAAACTGTGGCCACCAGACAGTCTCCAAATGGAAGACGCAGCGTGTTAGGAAGCAGCTTGTCCTCCTGACCTTGGTTGAACTTAATGTCTTCCATGTCAGGAACCATTTCCATCTTCCTCTAGTCAGTCTGGCATCCAAAATATCTGCCTTTCAAAGTCGCCATGAGGGTCAGGGACGCTGTACACAAAGCTCTCAGCCCAGAGCTGGCTGCGTAGTAAATGGGAGTCAGCACTAAGAGGTGGAGGGTGAGGGGGACAGTCTGTTCAGAGACTCTCAAGAGTCAGCCCAGTCTGCAGAGGACCAGGGAGGGCTGCGCACTGAATCAGACCCTGAAATAGGGCTGAGCCACAGTGTAGCCCCATCCCGTGTGTGAGGCTGGTGATGTGCTCGTTCCCCCGAACCCCGACAGCTGCGGTGTGGGAAGTCCTGAGGGCAGCACAGAGCAAAGGCAGCCACGCCAGCTCTGCGGCTCCATGATGGGCCAGGCGAGCTTGGACCCTGTAAGCAGGGACCCTGCTTCCAAGCTCTCCTGTCACCCTCACAGCTCTCCTGCGACCCAACTGCATTTAGTAATTTATTGTGTAACTTGGGAGACTTAACATTGTCACTGATTAGAGAAACATTTAACTGCACACTTATCCACATTTTAAATATACCTAAAATATACCTACGGTCCATATACCTATTGTGGCTTAAGATTCAGCCTCGCTCTCCTTTATAATGGGCCCTTTTCCCACTGGATTGGCCTCTCTACTTCTAGCAATACTTCCTTAAACCCACTACACCCTAAGTTCCTAAGGTCGGAGCTATATATGAGGTCCTGTGTCTGGCCCCGAGCAGGTAATTAATAAATGTTGCTTAGACATGTGGGTGGCTGGATAAAGACCAGTGTACGGCTGCTTGTCTGCTGAGCTCTGATAATTCGGGGACGGAAGCTTTCTTTCTGTCCTCAAGGAACTCATTTTAGAAAACAAAAACTGGATGAAGAAGAGCAATGACATGTGATGGGCCAGGGCCCCACATATGGGGTGGCTCAGCTGGACAGAGAGGGCTGGAGCAGCAGGCATCAGCCACAGAGGGTGGGAGAGCACTCGGGGCGCTTTGGAGTGGAGGACAGAGTGGCCAGAGGATGGCAGGGGCCGAGTCCGTGCAGCTGGGGCAAATGCAGATGTGGGGAAGGGGAAGGAAGGGCGAAGGCCTCGGGGAGAACCGGTCAGTCCAGGCCGCCTCCTAGCAGGGATGCTGAGTTCCGCCCAGGAGAAACTCAGAAGGCTGGTAGGGATGAGAGCATCTGCCCTTCTACAGATAGCCCAGCAGCAGCGCGGAGGGCCAGGGGGCCGAGTGCTGAGAAGCAGTGAGAGGCAGGAGGCTGGGCCCGCAGGGGCTGTTGGGCTTTCAGACTTCGAGGGACTCTGGAGGCCGCCTGTGAGCACCTGGCCAGTATTTGTAAGGAAAAGCAGGGGCATATGATGTCCTGGCTGAGAGGGCGGATGACCCTCTGTGCAGAGGAACGGCGGGGGTGTGGGAGGAAGAGTGGAGCCTTCCTTTGATCCAGGTCAGGCTGAGAAGCCAAGAACCCGCAGTTGCGATTTCTCAGGAAGCAAAGCATTCCTGGGCTTAGGAGAGAGGTTCAGACAAGAAAAGTGAATGTTATACTCAGCCAAAAAGTGTTATCTGGAACCACATGTGGAGATAAGATCTCACCAGGAAGGTGTACGAGAAAGCTAAGCCCCGGCATACACACCACGTACAGACAAAATTTCTGAGAATGAGGTGGAGTCAGAATCTGCGGGCAGAATGAAAAGCTCGTGCTGCCCTCAGCACTGGGAAGAGAGGGCTTCTGGGGGGGCAGCGATTGACAGAGTCAAATCCCACGAAGTGAGCAAATGAGGAACAAACCTGGAAAATACTTGTTGGAGCCAGACTTACACAGCCGTCAGCTTATAGGTACAAATGAGATCAAATGAAGAATAATAATAATACCAGAGATTTCCCATAGAGCACTAGCTGCCAACCATCCATCTGCACAACAAAACAACTCTCTCCAAAAGTTTCCTCCATCCCACTAAACATTTCTGGAAGGACCTGGGGGTTCTCTGGGGGCTCTTACACACACACACACACACGCACACACACGCACACACACTCACCTGGCCCACAGGCGAACGCAGCAGAAGACTGCTCCAAGTTTCACTGAGCTGAAGCTAGTGTTTTCTGAGAAATGAAGGGGGTCCCCCCTTGCCATTTCACCTGCTCGTCTCCCCTCTCTCACACAGTGTCTCACAAAAATACCTTCTTCAGCTTGTGTCTCATGTCCATCTGTCCTCTGGCTTCAGACATCAGGCTCTGGGCCGAGCAGTGGAGCAGACACAGACCCCCCGTACCCTCTGTACCCCAGTTCCCTGGTGACACTCTGCCAAATGGTCTTTGGGGTGATTCACTGCACCTAGACTTCTGGACTAGATTAAACCAAGGTACCTAGCTGCAAGGTGATTTACCAACACAGAAGGGTTTCAACAGCATGGTCAGGCTGCAAGAAGGGCAGGCTGCAGTGAAATAAGGAAAGAGGAAGTGGCAAAAAAAAAAAAGGTACCCATGACAAGCAGGACACCAAAGTCCACAAACGGGCAGAGCCCGGAAAGCAAGACACAGGAAGTGGTGGTTGTGGTTTGTAACATGGGAGAGGGTTAGACGTTCTCACCTTCTGAGGAAAAAGATGGCCAGAAGGGAGAGACCACAGCAGCCACTGAGAGAAAGACTCTGAGGGAAAAGCCGGGCACAGTCCTCCAATGGACCAAGAGCCCTGGCCACAGGAAGGGGGCTGCCCGGGCAACCTGAGTATGAGACCAAGAGAGAGAAGAAGGGAGAGAGTATCACCTCGGGCTTTTTCTGAGGGAGCTAAAACTTTGGATCTGAAGTCTCGAGGACTGAGGCAGACATGTTGCCTATAGCTTCACAGCCCTCCCACAATGTTGTGCTCAGAGCTCTCACAACCCAACTTCTCATTTTGGCAATTTTATTTACATATCAATGACAGCCACAAAGCTGTCCCTCAGAAAGAGCTGCTTCTGGGACTCTATTTTCTTCCCTGCTTGGAAATCCAGTATGACAGTGGTGGCGTCTGGCTCTGGCTCTGGCTCTGGCTCTAGCCCCACTCCTTTGAAGATACAGTGCAGAAAGTCCCTAACTTACCAACAAGTTCTGTTACAGGAGAACTGTTCATAAGTTGGATTCATTCGTAAGCTGAAAAAGTGAGTCTTATACAGTACACCTATGACAGTTCCCAACTCAAACTTCCATAGTCAGGGACTTCCTGTACTCTGGTTTCAATGTAACATTTTCTGGGGAAAAGGATAATTGATTTTTCCTTGATTTGTTTATCTAACTTATCACACACTGGAGTAGTCTGAAGAAGACCTAGGCGTAGAAGACTTCTACTCTGCCTGGTAGGGAGGACGGCACCCCTGCCTGCTGTCTTCTAACATGGTGAATATAGCGGCTGAGTTACTGCCCTCCTCCCCCGGCAAACAATGAAAATCCAAGCCTACAGAGTCCCAAGAAAATCCTCATTTTTAGGTGCGAAGAGCTGATTCCATGATGGTCATCCCAATACCAAAAATCCTCCAGCTGCCAAGTCACCATTTCAATCTCACTTTCTCTACACAAGTGCCAAAGCTTTTGCTTCCTCCAATAACCTTGTTTCTATTTTAAAAATCAACTGCGTCTCCAAGAGGGAGGAAACAAAGAATTGGCTCTAAGAGGCCACTGCCTCCTCAGCCTCCTGGCCTCCCTCCTCGAAGCTGGTCAGTGCTTCCTGGGAGGCTAGCTTAATTCTGATCCCTGCCAAAAGCAGGCACTCCCGATGGTCTGAGGACAACAAAGGCACTCAGCCCAGCGCCACCCAGGACTAAAAGCAGGTTGTGCTTTTACAGACGCTCTTAAGTATTGATCCCTCCCGGCCTGCAGTGACTTACAGGCTGTCCCTTTAAAACTCGCACACCACTAGGTAGACTCCTCCTCCGGGGAGGTTCCTTAGTAGATGAGAGCCAGCCGCCCGAGCACAGGGCTCAGTACCTGCAGTTCGAGGTTTGGCACGGGAGATCGGGAGATCCGCAGCCCTCAGCATGGCTGAAGCGTTTGTGAACGGCAAGATCCACCCCGAGAAGGTGGTGGTGTTCATCAAGCCCACTTGCCCCTACTGCAGAAAGACCCAACAGATCCTCAGTCAACTGCCCTTCAAAGAGGGGGTTCTGGTGTTTGTGGATATCACAGCCATCAGCAACACCAACGAGATTCAAGATTATTTGCAACAGCTGACAGGCGCCAGAACGGTGAGTGTGGGCTTGGTTTGAAAGGGTCCTGGCTGGTTTTTCTCCTCAGGGACGTGAACGAATATGTGTCTGCGCCTTTTCTAGGAAGCTGCCAGCGCTCTGCCCTTCGGGTGTGGGGTGTGGGGGAGGGAGCTCAAGCCAGGACTCGGGCCCTTGAATGGGCAGCTGAACAGCCCGAGGGGCCTCTCCCAGCCAGGAGGGAGCCCAGCTAACGACTGCCAGCCCCTCAGTGGGCCCAACCGCCTCGGAGTCGCGAGGCTGTGTCTGGAGGCTTTGTTTCAAGCCTTGTTGGGAACTGACAGTTTTCAGCGTGTGTGGCTTGGGGGTGGGGGGGGGGAGCCGGCCAGTTTGATCAGCACCGTTCTGCTCTGTAACCTGGAACCTTGAGTTCACTTCTTTCTGTTTTCACTGCTGTTCTTCAGTCTTTTCCCTAGGCTTTCTTTAATCCTAACCCCCTTTACTCTTTTTCTCATCTACTCCCAGGAGCACAGTTCTCCAGTCTCTCTGTCTGCCCCTCGTTCTAAGTTAATGGCGGGACTTTTCAAGCGGGCCAGGTTTCCGCCTGACTCTCACAATGCTTGCTTTGTGATCCCTAGGAAGTCAGCTTCTGGGGCCCAAAGATCCGGCTACAAGGCCACAGGGGTTGTCGGGGAAGTGGCCCTTGTGACAGGCACACTGTGGGACTCTGAGTGCCCAGGCTTCGGGTGGGATGGCCAGCCAAGCACATACTGGTGCTCAAGGGGGGACACAAGATGGACCCCCAGGTCCTCTGAGTCCCCCTACCTGAGAAGTATTCTAGGATGAGGTCTCAGTAGAAGCAAGTGTCCCATTTCAGTGTGTTTGACTTACCAGGTTCTCTTGGGGTTCTGGGTGTCCAGCACCGGAGATCTCCCCATTCTTTCCAACCAGAAAGCAGCACAGCGATGCAGGAAAAGGTGAAATACGTTGCCCTGCTGCTGTGAGCAGAGGTCCTAAAGCAGAGACACAGAGACGCCCCTTGCGGCCTTGTTCCTCCTCCTACCACGAGTCCTTAGCCAGTGTTTCCCAAACTTTGGGGTTGAATTGAGTCACCTGGGGGATTTTTTTTTAACTAAACCCTATGCCTAAGTCATTACCCCAGACCAATTACACCACAAAGTCAGAGTTAGCCGGGGCCAGACACCAGTAGTTTGAAGAACCTTTACGTGATTTCAATTTGCATCCGTTTGGGAATGACTGTTCTAGGCCAGCAGCTTCTGATCTCTATCAGAAAAAGCAAAGTTCCTCATTACGGACCTTTTTGTTTTCATTTTTTTTTAAAGAGATACTATTTTCATAGCAGCATGTTAAGTGTATTTAAACATTTTAAGAAATAGTGTTCACAGTTAGAGTGCAGAATGCATTCCCCTAAGAAGGACAAATCCTTCCAAATTGTCTGCCTCTTGATCTCTTTCTATTCAATGAGACTGAAAATGTGAGAGTAGTTTGCTGTCTTAATCACCCTGGACTGACTTGGGCTGCTGGTACAGGAGGTGCTCAGCAGGACTCATTGCTCAGAAGCCCTTGCTTCAGTCAGGAGAGCTTGTTGGATTAGGGTTTTGGTTTACATTAGATTTTGGGTTTGGGCCCTAGATCAATGCCCATGTCTACTCCCCCCCTAACGCTCTCTGGTCTGAGAGTAGAGTTTCTTATCCACCATAACATCTTCATGCTCACCCAAGAACATCTCTCAGTACTTTTTACAAGGCAGGTCCACTGCAACACATTCTCTCAATTTTTGTTTCTCTGAGGAAGCTTGGTTTTTCTTCACATAAAGGTTGGTTTTGCTGGATGCAAAAAAAAAAAAAAAAGTTTTTAAACATCTACTGTGTACCAGACACTTTTCTGGATGTTGCTAAAATAGCCATGGATAGGGTGGGGTGGATGAAGCCTTTTAAAACTTGCATTCTAGTGGGAGAGATAATAAATCTAATAAAATGGTATTTAGGGAGGTAAGTGAAAAAAAATTAGTAGGAGGTGGTGGGGTGAGGCAGCAGGGTAGTCTATATGAGCGACAGAACAGCCAACGCACATTTCTACCACAGGAACTTTGCTCTTGCTGTTCTCACTGCCTTGCCTGCACTCCTAAATTCTTGTATACCTTCTCCATCACCTCATATAGAAACCTACTATAAGGGCCGAGGATTTAGCTCAGTGGTTCGGTGGCCTGCCTTGCAAGCACAAGGACCCGAGTTCAATCCCTGGTACCAAAAAAAAAAAAAAAAAAAAAAAAAAAAAAAA